ATACATGCAGTGTGTTTGAGAGAAGAAAAGTGGTCAACGGAAAGCTTTTTGACATTGGGGCAGTAGGGGAATTAGTGAGTCCAGAGGGGCAAAGTGGGTATTCGATGGTGGAAATGGATGAGATCGGATGGCTGAGAGGAAGAGAGAGAAGGAATGGCGGCGAGGTTGAGGTGTTGCGTGAACAGATTTGTGGTCCAAACTCCGTTACGGTGACAGGCCACATGCCATTGCCGTTAGAAAAAGTCTTTGGTAGTTTGGTACCTCGAAAGGGTTATGAATGACCCGCCAAAATACAACTCCGAGCATAAACGAATTAAATAATTTATATTCGATTCACGGTTCAAGCTTGTATAAGACTATTTGAATTCAAAAAATTCAAATAACATTGCAAATAAAAATATTAAATTTGATTTGAATTGTTATCATTTATCAAATACAAATAAAAATTTCAGTGTATTCGATTCGAATGTTAATCAATTATATTTGATTAATATTAGTATTAATATTAATAATAATATTAATAATTATAGTAACGACACTATAATAATTAACTTTTAAAAGTTAGCTATACCCTCAAAGTGTAGCTCATATATATTTACATATATAAAGTCTAAGCCGATTTATAATAAATCAGAAGTATCATATGGTGTAAGAATTGTAAACGAAGCAAATAATTTCGTCGTTCAGATATATTTCAAATCGAATACTAATACAAATAAGTAAAGAATAATCAAATGTGTTTTTTTATACATATACAAAATCAACCACCTAATATGCATGTGTGCGCATCAACTATCCACTATGTGTGTGTATTATAAACTATACTCCGTATATTTAATGGGTTTTTTATTAGCAAAACTGCTAAAATGTAACATAAAATTAGAGTCATTTGACTTTGATATACTCCGTATACAATTATCAATTTATTCCACACATTATAAGTATATATAATTTCTAATATATTTAATTTCAAAAGTTTGAAATAAATTTATATTTATTAATCTTAAAATTGATTCACTTTAGTATATATTGTGCACAACCTAAAAAAGCATTGATCCATTAAATTTTAAAGAAAAATGTAATGTTACAAATTAAATTCTAAAAACACATATTAAGTCATAGCATGTATTTGTAACATAAAAACATAAAAAAAGTTATTTTTTTAAATGATATTTGACTAATATATAACTTATGAGTCGATATTCGTATATGATTCGTTAAATATTCGTATTGTTTAACAAATACAAATCAAAATTAATATTTGTTTCATATTCGAATTCATATTTGTATTCGAAAAAAAAGTAAACAAATACAAATATAAATTAAATCCCACTATTCGACTCGATTCGTTTACAACCCTAATATAGGGTGGACAAGTTACGGACGGTTGAGGATTACAATTACTTTGATCTCTGATTAGTAATTCTCCCTCCGTCTTTTAAAACTTAGTCATACTTCCGTTTTGGGATATCCCAAAAAAACTTTTTTTAATCAAATATTGTATTGTTCCTTTTGATTGTCTCTCCTTTACACAAATCACAACTGCACAATTTTTACTTTATTATTTTTTATGTCTGCCAAACTTGGCAAAATTTTTAGAGACAAAGATAGTAATTAACAATAGCTTCATGGAATACAAGACAAACTTTTGTTCTAATCTTCTTGAAATTCTATAGATTTAGGATCTTAAAGATAGATAAACTATCATTTTCAGATTTGAAAAATGAAATGTACCGATACAAATCTTATATGTAATATCATTTAAATCGGGTCTGGATGATTCGAAGCGGTTCAGATAGTCCCAAACTAGTAAAAAATAGTTATACAAAAAAGTTTTAATTCCCAAATAAAATATATTACCATTTCTACCGTATATATGCATAAAAAACTTAAAATTTTAAAAGTCATTATATTAATAATAAGCTATCTAGTTACAAAACTAAAAGCTAGTGAGTTTGAATAAAATATGGATAGAAAACACACTAATCTAACAAACACAACTCAAAATTTAAAAGAAAAACAAACAACAAACGTTTCCTCAATTTTTCCTATCATTTACTCATTTGTCTTGTAAAGAAGATTCTGATTTGATCCTCACATGTGTTTATACAAAATTGGAAGTGTTGTTGACTTTCCCAAAATACCCTCTTCCCTTCCAATGAGCTGCACATATTCAAAACAAAAGAAGAGAAAACAGGTTGAACCATTCCAACAAAAACAATCTAATAAGCTTATTAGATTGTACCGTGCTTGGCGGTGGCGGATGTATTCTTATCGGGGGTGTTCATGTGCACACCCAAAAATAAATAAAAAAGCAAGAGTCGGTTAAAATGATGAAAAAACGTTCAAATGTCATAGTCAGTCCTTACACATGATGAAAAAGTCACTAGTAGAAAAAACACTTTTTATGTCGGTTAAAATCGACTTTTAATGTTGGTTCTAGACCCGACATAGATCCAGCGGACATTAAAAGCGGGACACTTTTTATATGGGGTTGAGGAACCGTTACAGAATGTCTTCAATGTCGGTTACTACTTGAACTGTTATAGAATGTAATAAAATATTCAATATGTGGTAGAAGTTAATTGTTATTGAAAACATACTTGCAATTTACAAAGGCCTGCCCTTTCTGTGAATCTATATGCTGCTTTGGTAAACCAAAATGTTTTTTTTATGTTTCACCAGTAAACTTTGCATCCACGTTTTTTAATAAAACTAATCAATATCAACAAGAACGAAATCATTTGAGACACTCACATTAATTACATACTATAAATAAACGAGTCTTACAAAAAGTACAATATTCCCACATAATACTATCATATTCTACCAACAATACTCATCCAGAATTCCATATGATTTGAAGACATACAAATTAATAATGTATTTATTAATATTAATTAGATTGTCTAATTATAGTAGAAATCTTGATGTATCTTGGACTCTTTTATTATAAATAATACTTTCGGGGCTACCATTTAGGTACGCTTCCATATTATTCTCACATGCATGGTATCAGAGCCAATTCCGTTTGTGGTTTGATGACTTGTTTAGCACCCATGATTAAGGGTAGCTTGTTAAGGGTTTGTTTGGCCCGTTTATACACCCTGATATTGTCCAGCCTGGTTCGAGCTGAGGAGGCGTGTTAAAGCATTTGTCCCACACCGGGTAATCACAGATATGACCGTGACTACGTCCGTGCCTACTTGTAGTCACGGATTTTAATAATACATTTTTTAAGTTTAACATTTCATATTACTTTTATAATTCCAGTCTTTAATAATAAGTTTGTTGTATGTGTATGGATTTTGTTTTTCATTTAATGTTATAATTGTTTTAAAGAAAAATTAAAATAATTGCTTTAAAATGGAAAACTTTTTTTTAAAAAAACAAAAACTTTAGTCACGGATCTGATCCGTGACTAATATTTTGTCCAGCTAAATTCAAAATTTATTTTTTTAAAAAAGAATAGTTACGGATACATGTCCGTGACTAATACAAAATTTGAAAATTTGAACCGCGGGGTTTTGAAAATTTGAAAATGTAGTCACGGATCGTTCCGTGACTAATATGTCGGAACTTTTTAAAAAAAAATAAAGTTAGTCACGGACGTCTCCGTGACTAAGATAATTTTTTTTAAATAAAACGTAGTCACGGATCCGATCCGTGACTAACGTGTCGGATCAGCTTTCCCGGTCAAGAATTTGTCACGGATCTGGTCCGTGACTAATCCGTGACTACATTTAGTCACAGATAATTTTCAGTGACTACGTTTAGTCACGCCGAATTAATCTCGGATCTAGTCACGGACAAAATCCGTGACTAAATATGTTAATCACGGATTTTTTACACTGAGATCCGTGACTAAATTCGGACGTGACGGAGTGGTATTTCTAGCGGGCAAATGCCAATGAACGGCGATGACTAGGTGGAGTTCAGATTACGGTTTGGCAATGACTAGGTGGAGTTCAGATTACGGTTTGGCAATGACTAGGTAAGAACGGCGAGGACAATAAGGGGGAATTCCTTCGGCTTCTCTCCATGGCAGCGACATTCAAGAATTCAACCCAACTTGGCATCCTCCCTCCGGCAACGACATCGGGACTTATCCTCGAATTGAAAATTGAACGATGACTTCTTCGATTGTGCGATTTTCCAAACTTTGAAAAGAGCAGACTTCACAATTGAAGAAGTTGGATGGACCGAAATGGGAATAGGGAAATAAAAAGAAGCAAAAAAGAGAAAAAAGAAAAAGAAAAGGTGACATGAGCAAATAACATACCAGATCGACACTTTACCTATAATTAATGAAAGTTAAAGTGTAGAAAGTTTAATATACTTTATATAAAGAGTAAAAGGGCATTTTACATTCTTCTCTACGAACTAAAATGGAATCTTCCATTCCAAATTTATATTATTTCCGTCTCACTCAACTTTGCCAAGTTGATGTTAGGTGGGTAATTAGAATAATAAAATTTGTATGGTTGAGGTTTGTGCAGAAAAGAGAGAAATAAACAGAGTCACTAAAACATTGATTTAAAAAGAAAGTGGTAAAGTTTTTGGGACAAAAAAAAATTTGGCAAAATCCAATGAGACGAAAAATATATTTAATGTCCTATTTCACACAGGGAAGGTGGGTGTAGTACAATGGATGACCATTCATCCCCAAGTGTCTCCTTTGTGGGAGGTCTTGGGTTCAATTCTCATCAAGGGAGATGAGGAAGGTCTTGTTCCTAATGATTTTCCCTACCTTCACGGAGTTGCTCAGCGGTTGAGAAGGGAGAGAATGATAATGAAGGTAGCAGGTTCGTGTGGTGGGAGGAGCAGCCTGAAAGGTGATGTAAGTCCTGCTGGATTCATTCTTTGGAGCCAGTACTGACGAGGCTGACTGTGATCAGATCTGGACTTAACTGTCTAGAGGCTTTGGAGAGTAGTTCATAGACTCCAGGATTATGAGAGCGTAAGCCCCGACACCTGGATTATAAAAAAAAGGTTAGAAGATACCATTTCTATTATTATTATTATTATTATTGCACTTATTCCAAAAGGTGGAATCTTCCACCCCGGAACCCACACATTCCGACACGACAGGACACGTGGGAGAGTTAAATCACGATCTTTGGCAACAATTATTATTATTGTTATTATTATTATTATCCGTCCAAATTATTATTATTGCACAATTCTATACTTGGGTTAAAAAAGTAACCAGATCTTTGGCAACAATGCCAGCCTTAGGATTGGCAGGATTGAGCAAGTGAAAACCGTGTCCTTCCCCTTCAATCTCCAGAATCTCCACGTCTCCCTTCCAAACGCCGCCGTTCTTCAACGCCTCGTAATACGCCTTCGCCCTCGCCAGCAGAAAGTCGTTCTCCGCCACGTGAAACAGCACCTTCTTGCACGCCATCTGCGCCAGCCTCGGATCCACCGCCGGATTCAGCCGCGGATCGTCGTCGACGCCGCTGCTTTCCGGGCACAGCAACTTATACAGCTGGTCCTCCTCCTTTCCTCCGAAAAATGGGTGAATAAGAAACAGCCCTGAAATCTTCCAATCCCTGTAATCTCCGCTGGATCCTGCCCTCAGGGCGACGTCGTGGGCTATGTTTGCTCCGGCGCTCTCTCCGCCCAGGAAAACTCTCCCGAAATCGGCGTGGTCGGTCAGCCACGGATCTGGGCCTTTTCCGTGGCGGTGAGACATGGTCCACTGAAAGGCTTCCCATGAATCGTCGTAGGCGGCCTGGAGGGGGTGCTCCGGCGCCAATCTGTACTCCACCGACGCCGCAATCACCTTCCCCTGTTCGACCACTGAGGTGATGAAGTTATGATAAGTGACCCACCCGGTGGATCCCATCACGAATGCCCCGCCGTGGATGTAAATTGCAAGCGGGAGCTTTTGCTCGGCATCGGCGACTTTCGGGAGGTAGAGACGGACGGAGGTGCCGGTTTCCGGGTTGATGACGATGTCCCTGGACCGGACGGCGGCGTCCGGATTGTCGCACGCCGTGGCGTACCCCGGTTGCCTGTGCCTGTCGATACGGCCATCTTTGTAGAGAGTGAAAAATTGCGGTACGGCCAAAGCTATTTCGTCGGTGATCGATGCCATCTTTAAGATGCCATATTGGGGACACAACATATATACTGCTCTGTTTTTAATGGCACCGATGTCTTCATTATTTCGTCTCTTTAAATCTACTCGAAACCAACCCTTCGAGATCACTTCCGATGGGAGATTACGGTATACTAGCGGAGCTGAGTCTTCCTACCTTCCCGGAGTTGCACAGGTAGAGACGTTGGATTTGACTGTCTAGAGGTTTTGAATAGTAGTCAATAGACTACAAGATTATGGGAGCGCAAACACCGACACCTGGACTATGTGTGTTACTCCCTCTTGTCTCATTGTTAGTGGGACGGAGAGATTATTGTATTTCTGTGTGATATATTTTCTCTATTGTTAAATAAATGTAATGGTCAATACTTCACATTTGTTGAGACACAACTTTGACCTCTAATATGTATTATTCTGTATTAGTAAAAAAATTGAAAAATTAGATTTTGAAAATTTACAATGAAACAAATTTAACAATATTTTTTTATAAAGCAATATTAATATATTAATAAATAAAATATGATCAAAGTGTAAAGTTCAATATGTTGCACTTATTTAAGAATAAAGGTAATACATAATAAGTTATAACTATAGATTTTGTCGAAAACAAAAGTTATAAGTATAGGTATAGACTTTGGTTTCCAAGATCAAGTATCGTGTTAATGTTTCATAACTCATTGATAAGCCCGTATTTAGACACGCATTTGATGCGTGTTCGGGTTGGATTTTGATGGTTTTCCTATTTTTAAGGTGTTGCAAGTCTCAATTTTAGCTCAAGTTGCGATTATCAGGCGTTGGGTCGAGTTTCTTTGCATTTGGAGTTGAATTGAAGAAGTTAGAGTCTGACAATCAGCGCTTGAGAGACATTCAGGAAGGATTTGAAGGCATTCGAAGAAGATTTGAGAGATTTGGAGGTCATCGGGAGATTCACGACGAAATTCTGATGATGAACGAGTATTTGGATTGACCTCGTACATCCGAGAGCATTTGGAACAAGAAAACGAAGAAAAAAGTGAAGAATAAGGTCACGCACGGTCGTGTCCGGCGTTAGGCACGGTCGTGCCCGACGTTAGGCACGCCGTGCGTGCCTAGGAATGAAGCGGATGAGCTACTGGAACCCAGGCATGGTCGTGTCTGGCAGGCAGGCACACCGTGCCTGGACGCGTTTAAACGGTATGCTTCCGCGGGCACGGTCGCAGACACGTTCGTGCCTGACCCCGTTTTGTCCTAATTCTACCCAAATTCCACCATTTCCTTTAAATAACACCCCCATAACCCTAATGAGGGGGGTGGAGTTTAGAGAGCTGATTAAGGACGAAAATTAGAGAGCTTTTCAGCCAGGTTTTTCAATTCCTTAACATTCTTTGTAAGTTCCTACTCTTTGATTAATGACAATTAATTCTATTCTTCCCAATTCCGTTGATTCTTCAATTATGAATTGTGAGTAGTTTTAATTAGGGATTTGGAGTTGATGAAGGGGTTTATCATGATGTATGGCTAGTTTCTTGATGGTTTGATTACAGGAATGCCATTTAACTTGTGTTTGAATAATTTAACTGTTATCTTTTGTAATCTGTAACCGCGGCTATAATTACAATTGCACATAGAATAAATTAAGAGAGATCTAGTTTATTCTAGGACACATTCACACACTTAATCGTTCGCTAAGAGATTAGTAGCGATTAAGGGGTCGTAAGCTCGTTCGTCTTGGCAATAATTTAGGATCCTGTCGCATGAGAGATCAGCCTGGTCCCCTAAATTATTGTACTCTACGCCGCGAGAGCGGTAAGAACTTAGTATTCATTAGCTAGGCTCAATTAAATTAAATTCATGTAATTAAGCCTGATCCGCCAGAAATCTTATTACCCCGAATCAATCCCTGTTCCCTTCATCTTTAATTAAGAAGAACCCAAATCTTTACTTTTATTCGCTCATTCGCATTAGTTTAATTTCAATTCAACCAATCAATCTCGCACGACGCATTTATTTAATTTTATTTCTTTTTAATCGCTGAATTTAGTTTATCTTTAATTCCCTTTTGTCAGTCCCTGTGGAGACGATACTCGTACTTTCACCACTATTCTACAATCTTTTTAAGTGCGAGAAAACTCACGTCAGTTGTTGGCGCCGTTGCCGGGGACGGTGTCGGTCTGAAGGGTTAATTTAACTCAGTGATTCGTTTTTAGTTCTTCATAGGATGTTTGTCTGCTAACCTTGCAGGTCAGATATCTTTATGCATACACGCTCCAAGAGGGGAGAACCGTTAATCCCTCTTAATCTTGAGATTGAAAAGCTCGCCAGACAGAACCGCAAGGCTGACAAAGAGAAATTTACCATGGACCATCAATCTTCATCTGGAAACATAGGGTCATCTAGTAACCCTGACCCTACTACTCAGCCAGATTTCTATCATAACACATCACCCCAATCATCACCACCAATTTCACCTAGAAATCCTCCAGGTTTTCAAAATTACAGCACTCCGATCTTTTCCCAAAATCAGCCTTCACCACAATTTTATCTCCCTGCATTATATCATTTTTTCAAAATACCCCAACTGCTCCTGAAACCAATTTTCAAAACCAAGTTTATGGGATCAAGGAGCAGGGCAGAGTATTCCCGTTTTCCAATCGAGACAGAACTCACTTCCAATCAATCAACCTACATTCCAAAATCAACCCTAGTACCAAAATCTGTACCCCAATCAGTTTCAAAACCAAACCCAAGTCCCACCTACTCAGCCACAACCAGCCCCCCAGCCTAGACATCAGGCGCCTCCACCAAATCCATATGTACCGCACAATAATCCACTCTATCAGCGCCAGACCATTGCAGAGTTCCTCACGCCAAACGTTTCAGAGTATGATAGCATTCACGTGCCGGGAATTACTGTCAACCTTTACGAGATCAAACCGGCGGTGATCAGCATGGTATCCAATAATCAATTTGGAGGAGGCTCTACAGAAGACCCAGTGGCACATATTACGCGCTTGTGACATCCTAAAATTTTAAAATAGAAACATAAAGTTAAAATAAAATAAAAAATAAAATAAATATAAAATATCTGATAAAAATAAACCAGATATAATTTATCTGATAAAGATACACCGGGCATAATTGTCTAGATTAAATGGTGAAAATAAAACAAAGTAGAAATGATACCTCTTAACTACATAATATGTATACTTATACTACATATGTAAATATTATTTACTCATACGAAATAATACGTACAACTAAACTTGCAAACAACATACATGCCATATATACGTATTGTTGGTCCCGGTTGTACTGGATACAGTCTAGAGGGGGGTGAATAGACTGTATTGGTTTTTAACTTTTTCAAGCTAATTACCAGATTTAACAGAATAGCCTGTTCTGTTGGCAGAACAGACTAGCAGCGGATGGGGTTCTGGTAGGGGTTCTGTCAGATTAGCCTCAGAGAAGCAAAGACAGTAGGTCTTCTGTTAACTCACAAGACACGTTCTGCTGAACACATAGACCAAGTCTTTGGAGTTAAACAGTTCAAATAAGAACGATAAATAAGAGCAGTAAGTAAATGACACCAGGGATTTTTATAGTGGTTCAAGGAACAACTCGTTCCTCTAATCCACTGTTCCACTAAGCTTGTAAAAACGTCCGTTTACAATGCCTTAGTCCTAGCACTTAAGAAGCTCTCCACGTTTTCTTCAAGTGTAGATGTCTCCTGGGATGCACTTCCTGGTTTCCTATAAGACTGGTCTTTTCACTGAGCTTCCCGGAAGTATCACCACTTCACTGCTCCAGTTACTTGGACGTCCTTCTTGTGAAAGAAGAGTTTCTATTGAAACAGGGGTTCCTCCAACTTGCTTCGTTACAAAAGATTTGTAGATGACGTGTTTGAAGTGTTGAAGAACGAATGGAACTTTGCTTGAGTTGGAAGTGAGAATATTTCCAACGTCTGCCTTCTCTTGTAGAAGATGATGAAGAATTTATCTCAAGGAGACTTATCCGTTTTTTAGTGTTTTAATGTTTTTGTATTCGCACTTTTGTAGCAAAGTTATCCGGTTGTTCTTCGTAAAGTATCTTTTATACTGAGGTTGTCTTCCCGTTGGAGGAGAAGGAGGACAACTGCATTTAATGCGCGAACAGTTGACTTGACCGGTAGGACCCAGCAAAGTTGGCGGGTTACTATTTCGGGATAAAGTTATCCTGACATTGCGGCCAATCATCTGCATTTACTCTACAGAGTACGTGGAGCATTAAATGTGCATTTAATGCGCGTACTTTAGTTCTTCCGTTGAAGTCTTCTAGCCGTTGAAGAATCTTCCGTTGAATTAACTGGCTTGGATGTATTCGGAAAGCTTCTAAGTGTCAGACCTTCTGGTGTCTTCAGCAGAAGGTCAATCAGAGAAGGTCTTGAGCACTTCTGTTGAAACGTAAGTCACCAGAGGGTCTTCAGTCCTTTTGTCAAGAGAGAGGCCAACAGAGGACCTAAGGGCTTCTGCCATAGTGGAGTCCAACAGAGAGTCAGGAGGACTTCTGTTAAGAGTATCACCAGAGGGCCAAACAGGCTTCTGTCTGGAGGTCTTCTGTCAGTCGACTAATCTAAGAAACTTTACAAGGAAAATTTCTAATACATTAAATCTAAAGAGGGGGTACTCTAAATTCCTAATTAGTATAGCATCATCAAAACCTAATTACAATTATTCCTTACAATTTCCCTTTTTTGATGATGCCAAAACCCTTTAACTATTTCGAGAGAAGTGCCTTCACCATAAAAGAATTAAAGTATACGAACTTTCATTAAAAATCTTGGTGGGCAACTTAGCATAGGAAAATAGTAAGAGTACAGTACATTCAGATAGCAGAAAATAAATCAAAGCACATAATAAGACAAAGAACAGTATGATAGATAAGAAAAAATAGCCTTACAAAGTGAAAGGCAGAGATGTGATTTTATTGATTGAAGGTTTACAGGAGTATTTGATTACATAATGGCCCTTGCAGCGTCAGCTCTTGCTTGGTCATCCAATTCTTGTAGCCTTTTCAGCTCAGCATTTACCTCTTCTCTGATTCCTGTGAGGTTTCCTGGTGTTTGGTAGGAGGCCCACACCTGTGAGGTTTCCTGGTGTCATCTTCTGCTTCATTTCTTCAAATTGAACTTTGGTTATTGCTCAGTGCTTAGTGCTTTCTTCTTCTTAGTGCCTTTCTTCTGTGGAGATGGAGGTCTAGGGATACCAGCTAGCCTTTTCTTTTGGAGGGCAGCTTCAAAATAGGGTGCAGGGTCAACAGCTAGTTCACCAGAGGAAGATACTCTCGTAGAGGCTCTGGTGGATCGAGGCTTAGGCTGTTGAGGATCCTCTTCCCCCTTTTTGGCATCATCTAGATCACCAAGAAGTAGAGAGAGCTTCTGGAATTTTGTGGCTTATGTAGAGGCAATCTGTTCAAGGGTTTCTGGCAGAGTTTGTGTAACAGATGTGAGGC